CTTGAGATGGGGACTTAAGAAAAGTAAGACACTTGCTTTCTCCAGGATATGGTCAGGCAGTTGTCCAAGTCGATCTTCCTCCTCCTCGTGTGTTTCGTACGACTGAGCGTCGAAAAGCAAAGCCTTGATGTTCCTGTCCCTGATGTTCAATTCTGCGAGGGCGGCCTGTTTCTGTTCAGCTTGTTTCTATACGTGGCATTTAAAAAAGCGACATCGTCAGAATCTGAAAGATGCAAATTTACTTTAATAAGTGTCTGCTGCATGAGAAAAAAAATAACCATCGGGAGGTTGGAGTCGACCTTACAAGCGCAAAAATATTTATGTGGCCAGACAGGCAGAAGACATGGCCGCATTAACTTTCAAGGTATAGGACCGAGACAAAAATGATATTTACCATTATCCGGCTGTTGGATATTGCTCACACTTGGTAAGAATTCAGTGTAAGTGGGAAAAGGGACATTTTCCCGCTTAAAGTTTTCTTTGCACATTTTTTATAGGGAAAAAGATAAGTAGCGTGTGCAAATACGCAGGTTAATGCACTGCCATAAAAACAAATAGTTAAGCGAAGGTGAAAGTTAACAGTCTAAGGGAAACTAACAAAAAATAAGCAGGAATTAAACCTGCAACTCTACCAAAAGGTTTTATGTTAGAATGTTTAGTAAGAAGAAATAAACGGGACTAAAGAAATGGATGACGCAATTTGCGTATTCGCATTTTGATAGAATAAAGTCAGCACGAAAGCCGATGTATATATATACATATACATACATACATATATATACATATATAGGCAGAATGCTATTACCGACAAAGACAAGGGAGACTGGAATTGCCATTTCCGGCTTATTTGCCGTCGTCAGCCAGCCATACCCAAGCCCGAAGAGTGGAACACCCGAGCCTCTAACTCGCGACCTGTTGGTTTAGAAGTCCACGTCTCTACCAACCGGGCCACGAGCCCGTTGCCCTGTCGGTTTTCGATCGGGAATATACAATGGTAGGGGGCGCTCACCGATCGTTCATACGGAACTCACTCGTTCCGTTGTGCCTTAAGGGCTCTCTCTCGAGCCCAACCAGCAGCCGCACGGCGGCGCATGATATATAGGCAACGGGCCCGTGGCCCGGTGGGTAGAGACGTGGACTTCTAAACCAACAGGTCGCGAGTTCGAGGCTCGGGTATTCCACACTTCGGGCGTGGGCATGGCTGGCTGACGACGGCTAATAAGCCAGAAATGGCCATTCCAGTCTCCCTTGTCTTTGTCGGTAATACCATTCTGCCTATATATCATGCGCCGCCGTGCGGCCGCTGGTTGGGCTCGAGAGAGAGCCCTTAAGGCACAACGGAGCGAGTGAGTTCCGTATGAACGATCGGTGAGCGCCCCCTACCATTATATTTATATATATACTCGCCCCGACCTGCAGCGCACCCGATCTGCAGCGACAGAGAATGACGGGTGGCGAGGCACTGATGAACTTCGGTTCGATGAAGTGCTTATGACCCATCTGTCAAACCCCAGTGGTTGACCTCAATGCGAAATGTCGACAAGGGCCACGAATCATTGGTAGGAATGAAAAGACAGTATCGATTTTTGACATTTTTAAAAACGTTGCCTGTTGTGCATATTTGCCATGCGTCTGAAAACGACCTGGGGAACCAGGGTCGAAAATGTACGGAATAAAGTTTTTTGCATTTCCCAAAGACACTTGTTATTCTCTATATATACATATATATGACGACGATGTGTTTTATATTCTTATCTAGAAAATGAAATTTTCTACTATTTTCCCTTGATTCTTATAAAAGAAAGTCTCTATTCTGGTTTGAGCAAATTCATAGTAGCCCACATGCTCGTGACTGACTTCTCTACCATCGAGTTGTTTTCAACAGTAACCAAAGAGATAAAGTTTTAGGAGTAAAGCCACAGCGAAGAAATGATCAAAACTCTGTAAGTGGAGAACGGCATTGCCTACTGCTGATCACCAACAAATGCGACAAATCAGTTCATGTGCCCCCTTTTTCTCCCTTGCCTATACCCCTGCCTGGCAAGCAAAATATTTGATCAAATGGAAGACGTTTTTATCCTGCATATTTCGCATCATAAAATCCGCCATGCGTTAATATCTGCCCATAACAAGTTACGCAAATTCGAGGCAAGGCACAGAGGATAATAAAGCCCTCACAGCATATCGATATCGACGTGATATACTCACATCACCGCCTGTGGAGACAGATGCGCAGTTTCTTCTCATTGGCAAGCCGTTTTTGACCCCTTCGCTCTGATTGGCTGGCGGATTTGTGTGGCGTGTGCGCCACGCGAAAGCCGTCTCTACGCTGTGCTGTGGCGTGGCGTGCGCGCGTGCGCGTGATTACCACCGTGACTCTTTTACTGTTCATTTTAATTCTTCTCTTATTTACAATATCTGTTGAATTTTGATTAGTCAACTTCACGTTATATATAAACAGGTATCTCAGCGGAGTCTAAGGAGACATACTGAACGAGACGTACAATAAGTCGTGAAGTTACTGAGGTAATCCGTAAAGGCCCTAAGACGGTTAAAGACGATACGATATGGCTGCCTAACGACCATGGGCCAAACGACGTGTGGTCAGACGAAGACAACATATCCACATGGCCAACTGACAGCCAGGAAGACAGCAGTTCGTTGTCTGATCAAGGGGAGAGTAGGACACCTGAAACCGAAAGACCCGCTGTCACGGAAAGAAACGTCGGGAGTCGTTTATCGGATCTGGTGCAGTTGCAGACAAAGCAACCACGTCGGAAAAACCGGAAGACAGTTCCAAACGCGAATAGCCGAACACGCTGAGCGGTGCGGAGAAATGACGCCAGCTCCCGAGTTGCGGCTCATTCGACGAGATCCGGCCACACATTCAAATTTGACGAGGCCGAAATTCTCACGAGAGGTGACAGCTGCGTGAGCCGGGAGCTATTTGAATTATGGTTTACTGGCCCCCAATCCAGTAACAAGTGCAATGATCTTCCTATTCCATACTCTGTGCTGAGACTTCGCCTAGGCGGAGTAATTGGCCACGCGGGGAGCGCACATGTGAACACTTCCCGACGCCAGGGTCGGTGCGTCAGATGGTCGAGCAATCATCACACCAACATCCAACGCACGTGAGGTAATTGCAGCAATTATCGACGCGAATGTCGGCCATCAAACAGCCATCACACCGCGTGCAACGATTCCTGATGAAGGGCGGAGCCGTGAATGTTCATAGGTATGCGGTAGCATGGCGACTGCATCCTTTAAATACCGCAGCCCCTTATGCATGAAACACCCGTATCGGCTGTTGTCCTGATGATGGTTTCGAGCAGCGATCCGAAACGTCAGGCTAATAAAGTACTTGTCCCGGTGATCGTGTCTCCTCCTTCAAGACTGCTTCCTGGGACACGTCTCTTCGCTTCTTTTGGCAAAGGCTAAACTGGGATATTGAGGCTGCATTTCCATTTGCGAAAGTTTTGCCAGTTTTTCAGCCTCTTACCTGAAGGGAGGTCCACATTTCGTTGTCGCCAAGAGCGCACTGCCTCCAAGTGGTAAGCGCCTTCCTTACTACAAGCTGGTTCCTAGCGTTCACAATCAACGCAATCGCAACTAAAATAGGAAAAGCGACGGTAGTAAACGACTGGTGGAAATTT